GCGACTGGCTGGTGGCGCCCGATGAGCAGCTGGTGGAGCTGGCGCGCGGCGGCGGCAGCGGCCGGGGCCGCGGCGGCAGGAAGCGGGGCGGCAAGCAGCAGCAGCAGCAGGGTGGCAGGGGCGGCGGCAAGAGCGCCGCGCGGCGGGCTCGAGCAGAAGCGGCTGGAGCAGCCAGCAGCCCTGGCGGCAGCCCATCGCAGCCATCCCAGCCGGGCTCGGAAGCGCCTGCAGATGGCAGCGCCAGCCAGGCGCCGCCTTCCCAGTCGCCCGGCAGCCAGGAAGAGGGGCAGCAGGCTGTGTCCCAGGAGGCGGCTGGGCCCTCCCCAGAGCAGCAGGGCCAGCAGGCTGTGCTGGCGGCCGAGTTCAAGCGGCGGCACCGCGGCGTGCGGCGCAACTGGGAGCCGCCGCCCTCCTTCCCCAGCGACGCGGTGGCGGCTGCGTATGCGCAGCCCAAGGTGGACGCATCCAAGGACAAGTGAGAGGGAGGGAGTGTGTGTGGCGTGTCTGTGGCTGTGGCTGTGGCTGTGGCTGTGGCTGTTCGTGTTATGTGGGGGTTCGTCCGGTCAAACAAAAACAACCCCTTGTGGGCTGCGTGGGTCCAGCCCACAGCCCCTGCTTCCCCACCAGCAGCTGTGCTCCGCACGGTCCCTGGGCCACTGCCGCCGTCCAACAACCCCTGCCGCCGCCCCTCGCCAGGTTCACCTTTGGGCGTCCCGACGTCGAGCTGCTGCGCCGCTACTGCGAGCAGCGCTTTGGGTGGAGCCAGGCGCAGGCGGATGAGCAGCTGCTGCCCGCGGTGCAGAGCTTCGACGAGCGGCAGGTGGGCGCTGTTGGGGGGTGGAGAGAGGGAGAGAGAGTGTGTGTGTCCGCGCACGTGCGCGTGGGTGCGTGTGCAAGTGCTAATTGCGGTTGTGGTGGTTGCCAGCGGCAGTGTGTGCGCTGGGAGAGGGGCAGCTGCGGACGCGCCGGCTGGGCTGCTGCTTGCCTGGCGCCCGGCCATGCCATGCTGAAGCCCTCCCCCCTCCGCTGCCTCCCCCTGCCCCTGCATCTGTTGCGCAGAGCCAGCAGACCCTCGACTCCTTCCTCACCATGAGCCACCGCTTCGCCAAGATCAAGTCCAAGCGCCTGCAGCAGGTGTGCGGGGCGCGGCAGGGGCGGGCAAGAGGCTGGGGTAGCAGTGGCAGCCTGGGCTAGCAGTGGCAGCCAGGCGCGGGGGATGTGCTCGCTGAGCAGGCTGCTGGCTGAGGGTACAGAGGAGCGAGGGCTGCAGTACACATGCCATGGTGCATCATGTGCAGTGGTGAGCGGGAGCCTTGCGCCTGCCCACCCCGCAGGCGGTGGCGGGCATTGCTGGCGGGGAGAGAGAGGAGCTGATGCTGAAGGAGGGGGAGGAGGCGGCGGGGCGCCAGCCGATGGCGGTTGCCAGGAAGGGCGGCGGGCGCAAGCGCAAGGCGGCAGGCGAGGGGGATGGCGAGGCTGCCAGGGCGTCCACCCAGCAGCAGCAGCAAGGAGGAGGAGGAGCGGTACGGGAGGGCGGGTCCAAGCGGCAGCGACCGGCAGGAGCAGCCGCCGGCACGGGCTGGGGGCAGGGCGGCAGAGGGCGCAGCGCGGGAGGCAGAGGGCGGGGCAGGGGCCGCTCGGAGCAAGAGGCAGCAGCCCTTGGTGGCAGGGAGAACGGTGGGCCCCATGAGGCCGCGGCGGCGGTGGCAGTGGCGGCAGCGCAGCAGCAGCAGCAGCAGCAGCAGCAGCAGCAGGGGGCAGCCGCCCAGGTGGCGGGAGTGGCGGCGGCAGGGCCAGCCGGGCGGCAGCCGCGGCACGGCAGGCGCAGCGCGCCTGCGGTGGTGGTGTATGCGGAGCCAGGCAGCGAGGGGGAGGGAGGCGAGGAGGAATGAGAGCCCGGGGGCTCCCAGCCACTCTGCATGGTCAAGACGGGTCTGCCAGATGGGTGTAAGACGCAGGCCAAGCTGTGTGTGTGGGAGGAGGAGGCAGCTGGAGCTGGCCCTGGTGACCACAGCTAGAACTTGGACCAGCCTTACACAGCCTGACAAAGACAGGGTTTTGTCGCTGAGGAACCAGCAGCCAAGATCAGCTGGGAAGACAGGCTGAAGGGTGGGGTGGGTGGATGCAAGGCAGAGCGGGGACGGTTCCCCACATTGTCGATCAGAAACAAGGGCTGGACAGGAGCACAGTGCTTCGCTGGTCGGAACAGCGGCCCTGGGCCTGCTACACATCAGACCCTCGCATAGTCGTCTTTGCAGCCGCGGTACAGGAGGACGGCACCCATGGCGGCCTGGCCCACAGCGCTGGCCACCGAAATCTCCCGCTTCTGGGTGCCATCCTGCAGCGGGATGGCGAGGAAGGCGGGGCGTGGGGCGCTGGCGTGGGCAGGGTGCTGCGGGTGCTGTCGGTGGCAGGGTGGCGGGAGTGGCGGTGCGCTGGTTGGCAGGGTCTGCCCCCGCCCCACCCCACTCTCGCCTGGGCGCGGTACGCCATGTGGGCGGCGGCCGTCAGCCACTGCACCCCCGACAACTTCAGGCAGTTCTTCACGGTCTTCTGCAGCAGGCAGGGCCAGGCAGGGGCAGGCTGGCAGCGTTGGGGTCATGCCAGGCTGCATGGCATCCTACGTCCCAGGTGCAGCGCACCACAGCAGCTGGAGGAGCAGCAGCTGGCATCGCGGGACAGGCTGGGCACTGGCCGGCGGGGGACAGCAGCCAGCAGCCAGCCCCTGCCTTGTTTGGCTCGCTCACGGAGATGCACATGTCGGTGGTGGCCTTGACCAGCAGAGAGTGGCCCTGCCTGCGCCACGCGGCAGGCAGGCAGAAGGGGGGTCAGGGATGGGATGGGAGGCCTGGGTCTTTGTGGGGCCGGGCTGCCAGGCCTGCCCCCATGTGTGGTGGCCACACCGCACCAGCGCCGCCCTGCCCCTGCCACGCACCAGCGCCATGCGCCGTCGTGGCGGGGCTTGCTCTTGTCAAAGAACAGGTCCTGGTATGCGGCAGGGGCAACCAGCGCTGTGGTGGCAAACACAGCGCAGCCCACACCAGAGGCCATCAGCAGGCTCTCATCGCTGCACGGTTGGGGGGAGTCGGTTGTAGCGGTGAGAGGGCGGCTGTGAGAGGTCCAAGGCGGCAGCACCAGCAAACCAAACTGCTTGAAGCCGTGCTCACCTGATCTCGAACTTCATGCTGGTTGGCTGCATCCAGGAGGGCATGGCATTGGCACACAGTGGGTTAGCGCCAGGCACGAACACAGAGTCCCATGCGGGACACCGCCGCGGCACTGTCCCGGGACAGGGCGGGAGGCGTGCACACCCTGCCGGCACGGCTGCCGTCCGCAATCGCAGCCACGCGAACGTGTTGCACGGCCTACAGCTGCGAGAGCAGTCGTAAATGGGTTGTTTCCCGGCACCACATGAGATGATGCACGCTTGCAGGCTCACACACTCACTCTCGGGGCCTCCGCTGTGCCTCCTGGAATGACCGGATTCGCAGAGGCCGATTGCAAGCACAGAAGACAGCAAAGACAGGCCGGGTGGACTGGATATGCGGCGGGACACGGTGTCCCGCAAGATTGCACGAGGGCATCTCACTGTCCATCTTAGGCGATCGAAATCGCCCTCTGGAAGCGATCGAAGCTATCACGGACAGGCAGCAAGGCGGCAGATTGAGCCGCGCCACCCACCGGGCGCCGCCCTCCGCCGCCAGTGGCACCCGGCCAACCTCTTTGTGCTGATGCCCAAGCCGTTCCTCCTCAGTAGACAATGTCATGGCAGATTTTATGCAGATGGGAGGCGTGACGATGTTTCACATTGCCACCCTGTTGCATCTCCTTCCTGGCGGCGTGGCGCACTTGAGGCGGGCGGGCGGGCGCCAAGTAGGCTGCTGGGCCGTCCTGCGCAGCACATCCTGCATCGCGAGCTCTATATCAACTCGTTTGCAACTTCACGCTGCGCCCCAGGCCACTGGCCTGGCCTCGGGAGGGCCCAGACATGGAGGGCGATGGCTTTTTCTGGCTGCTGCAGCAGCAGCGGGACGCCAAAAATCAGCTGAAGCATGATCGAGGCTCCAAGGCAGCTCCAGGAGCGGAACAAGACAGCGCCGCAGCGGGGAAGCCCGCCTTGGCCGACAGTCGCCCGCTGCAAGTTGCCAAGCCCGTACAATCAGGCCCAGCACACGCAGCGGACGAGAATCGACCGCCTGGATGCGCCGCAGGTGAACCCGGGCTGGGTCCTCCCCTCGCCGCCGCCGCCGCCGCCGGCGCTAGCCAGAATCTACACTCGCCACTTTGCCGTCCCTGTTTGCATGCTTGCAGCGGCGGCCGTGCTGCACGCCCTGGCATGCAGTGCAGCAGACGTCCCCGCATTCCTGGAGCGGCGCGGACTTGCGGAGCAGGCGGCGGGCGAGGCGCTGCAGGTAGCGTGCAGCGAGGCTCTGCTGGCGGTGCTGCTGCCACGCCGTGCTAGGGATGCCAGCCAGCCCGCAAGCAGCAGCCCGGCTCCTGGATCCGAGGAAGCAGCACAGGACGAAGGCGAGGTGGGCTCCGATGCGGCGCCAGCAGCGGCAGCCGGCGGCCATCCCGACGCGCCCAGCAGCCCATCACTGAGCCAAAGCGGCAGCGAGGATGAGCCACCCTACATCCTGTGCAGCCAAGGCGCGCCGGCAGCAGCAGCAGAAGCAGAGGAAGCCGGGGTTCAGGCTCAGCCAGAGGGAGCAGGCGCCGGGCCGGATGCGCGGCAGCTTGCCCGGTCTAGCGGCAGCATGGATGTGTGGGAGCAGGCGGGCGAGGCGGTGGCGGTGCACGGCCTGGCGGCAGTCACGGCTCGCCTGCTGGAGCTGGGGGCAGACGCCAGCTACGTGCGGCCGCGGGATGGGGCCACCCCGCTGGTGGCTGCGCTGGCGGGGGGGCACCTGGCGGCTGCCGGCGTCCTGCTGGATGCAGGCGCCCAGCCAGACCCGCCCGCCAGGGCAGCCGCCGCCGGGGTGCCACCACCCCCGCCGGCCTCCCCCCCTGCCCTCGCCAATGGCAGCCGCGCAGCCAAGCGCAAGCGCGAGGAGGAGGCTGCTGCTGCTGCGGCAGCGGCGGCGGCAGCGGCCCCCGCAGCGGGTCAGGCCGGCGGCGGCCAGCCTGCCGCTGTGGAGGGGCAGCCCACGCCGCTAGTGCTGGCTGTGGCTGCTGGCGCCGCGCAGCTGGTGGACCGCCTGCTGGCGGTGGGTGCGGATCCCAACCGCGCCTGCACCGCGCGGCTGGCAGGCAGCCAGAGGAGCGTGGCGCTCACCCCCCTGGTCGCCGCCGTCGCCTCCGGGCGAGCGGGCGTGGTGAGCCGGCTGCTTGCGGCGGGCGCCGACCTGCACCAAAAGTGCGCCGCCACGCCCGGTGGCGGCGGCGGCGCCGACTGGACCAGGTGTGGCGCGGCAGCGGTGGCAGCGGGCAGGCAGCCAGCTAGGCCTGCCTGCCTGCCGGCCTGCCTGCCGGCCTGCCTGCCAGCGTGCTTGCCTGCCATCTCATTTCACACACACACACACATACACACACACACATCTGCACACCTCCCCTGCCCCTCCCTGCCTGCCTCCCTCCCTCACCTCCCCACTCGCAGTGCCCTGAGCTCCGCGGTGCTGAGCGGCAGCGCGGCCATGGTGCAGCTGCTGGTGGGGGCGGGCGGCTGCGCGGGGCGGCGCGGCGGCGTGCACGTGGGGCGCGACCACCCCGCGCTGCGGGCGGTGGCGCTGGCGGCGGCGCACGGCCGCTGCGACATGCTGGACCTGCTTTACCCGCCGCTGGCGGCGGCGCTGCAGGGTGGGGCTGCACGTGCTGCACGGCAGCGGGGGGTGGGGAGCGCCTGGGTGTGCTGTGGGCCGACTGCCGTTGAGTGTCGGGTGTGGGCGGGGGCGCACTGGCCTGCTGTCGCCCGATCCGCCCTGCTCCCTGCCTCCCGCTGCCTGCCCCCTGCTGAGGGATGCTGGTGCCCGCCCGCCTTCTCCCTGCCCTTGCCCCCGCAGGCGGCTCCGCTGCCATGCTGGGGTCCCTCAAGCGCCGCACAGCCCTGCACCCGCTGGCGGCCGCCGCCGAGCGCGGCCACCTGGCGGCGGTGGAGCGGCTGCTGGAGCTGGGGGCGCCGCCAGGCCACGACGGCAGCGTGGCGGCGGGCGTGCCGCAGCACACGCCCCTCATGCTGGCCGCCGGTGGGGTTTGCATGCCGGCAAAGCCTCTCGGGGCTGCTCCTGCGTGGCCGGGGCTCGTGCTAGCCGATGGGCTTGGTGATGGGGAAGAGGTGCCCGCCTCTCTACCTGAGGCACCCAGCTACCACCCACACTGCGCCCATGCCACTTGCACTGCATTCTCACGCCCACACGCCACACTGCTGCCCCATGCCTGCAGCCAACGGGCATCTGGAGGTGATGAGGCGGCTGCTGGCGGGGGGGGCTTCCCCCGTCAAGACAAACAGCCATGAACAGATGGCAGCGGCGCTGGCGCTGCAGCGGGGCCAGCTGGCAGCGGTGGGGCTGCTGCTGCGGCACACTGGCGAGGTGCAGGCGGCGCAGGCAGAGCAGCAGCCAGCCACGCCGGCGGCGGCGGCAGAAGCAGGGGGCGCCGCGGCGGCGGCGGCATCGGCAGCCCCGCCGCGAGCGGCCGTAGCGCGAGCAGTGCCAGGCGGTGCAGCAGTCCCGCCTCGCCCGCAGCTAGCCAACGCCAGCAAAGCCTGGCAGCTGGGCTTTGCGGCCGGCATGCTGCCGCGCCAGCGCCCGCTCACCCTGGCTGCCATGGAGCAGGAGCGGCAGCGCTACCAGCTGGTGCTGCTGGCCCTGCTGGAGGCGCACGGCGCGGGCGGCGGCGCCGACAGCGGCGCGGCGGCCCGCGTGCGCCAGCTGGCCGCCCCCGCCTCGCTGGCTCACGCCGCGGCCGGCAGCGATGCGCTGCTGGCTGCGCTGCTGGCCTGCGGCGCCAGCCTGGGCTGTGTGGACCCCTCTGATGGCAGCTTCCCGCTGCTGGCAGCCTGCTACCACGGCTGGGCGCCCATGCAGCGCCTGCTGTCCCGCGGGGCCGACATCAACCAAGGCGACAGCGGCGGCGGCACGGCCCTCATGCTCATGGCCTCGCGGCCGGGCATGCTAGCGACGGCGCAGCAGCTGCTGCGCTGGCACGCGCAGCTGCCGCGCGGGGAGCGGCGGCTGGACCTGCTGCGGCGCAACGCGGCGGGGCGGGATGCGCTGGGCGTGGCCATTGCCGCCAAGAACAGGCGCTTTGCTGAGGAGCTGCTGGAGCACTTGATAGCGCAGCAGGCGGCAGAGGCGTCAGCGGCCAGAGCAGCGGCAGGAGCAGGGGCGGCGGACCCTACAGCACCAGTGCCGCCTGCAGCGTCCTCGTCGGTGGCCGGCAGGGCATACGAGCTGTTGGCAGCTCTGGGCGCCAGCTGCCTGGCGGACATCAACCGGCCCGGCAGCGATGGGCAGCACCCGCTGATGGCGCAGGTGGGCGGGGGCAGGCACAGGGTGGGTGGGGCCTGATGGCGGTGGTGGTGGTGGTGGTGGTGTGTGGGGGGGATTGGGGGGGTTGCCTCACCACCTTCTCCGATGCTTTGGAGACCCCTTGCACCCCTGGCATGCCCTGTCCTGCCCCTCCTCACCCACCCAGCCCCGCCCACCCCACCCGCCCGCCCCTGCAGGTGCATGCCGGGTCCCGCAAGCAGCTGCGCCAGGTGCTGGCGCTGCCTGGGCTGGACATCAACCCGCGCGACGCATGCGCCCGCACGCCGCTCATGCTGGCAGCGGGGAAGCGGCAGGTGGCGCTGGTGCAGGATATATTGGCCACAGGGAGAGCAGAGGTGGATGCCCGGGACAGCAGCGGCTGCACCGCGGCGCTGATGGCGGCGCGGGCCGGCGACGCCGCTGTGCTGCGCGTGCTGGTGGAGGCTGGAGCGGGTGCGTGCACTGCCTGGGCCTGTGGACCTGCCGTGCATGCTGCCAGCCTGCCATGGCCTGCACCTCGCTGGTTGCGCGGTTGCGGGCGTGGCTCTCTCTCACGCCTGCCCCTCCCCTTCTGGCCGCCACCCGCAGACCTGGGCTGCGCTGACAGCGAGGGCACCACCCCGGTGATGGCGCTGGCAGCCCAGGGCCAGCACAGGCTGCTGGCGGAGCTGGTGCGGGGCCGGCAGCCCGCCTGCCTCGACTGCCAGGACCGCCGCGGCTGGGCCGCGCTGCACCACGCCGCCGCCGCAGGCCACTTCAATGCGGTCAAGGTGCTGCGCAGCTCCGGCGCCGACCCTGGGCTGCGCACCGCGGACGGCGCCCAGACGGCGCACGACCTGGCCTGCCAGGCGGGGCACACCCTGTGCCTGCCGCTGCTGCAGGTGCCGGCCCAGGCGGAGCCGCGGCAGGGCTGAGCGCGCAGGGAGCGGGCCGGCATTGTGCCATGCATTGCCCCATAGATTTGTTGCTCTGCTTCTGACGCACCTGTGCCCAAGCACTGATTTCACACACAGCATATCCATTGTACTGCCCTGCTGTTGTATAGATGCGTACCAGCGGAATTGCAATTGTCACATGTGGATAGAGAGTCTCAGGAAACACAGTGGTATCAGCATTGTTGGAGTCAGCATGCATTGTTGGAGTAGAGAAGGTGGATCAACCAGACACGCACATGAATGCAACAGGAGGGTCAGTTTCCGCCCAAGTTTGCGAGCTGCAGCAGGACTCGCTCCATGCGATCAGCCTGCTGGAGCAGGTGCTGCGCGCCCTGGTGCATGTCGGAGGCGGCCCCCGGGCCCACTGGGCGCTGCTCAGCCGCCAACCGCTGCCAGCGCACCCGCTTCGACCGAGCCAGGCCCTGCGCTTCGGCCAGCGCCTGCCTCACGGTGAGGCCATCCCGGTTGGGTAGGTCCAGGCTCCAGCCGCGGCGCAGCAGGGCGGTGCCTGCGCCCTCCAGGTAGTCCACCCTCTCCTCGTCGCGGTACAGGTCCTGGAGCTTCCGCACCTGCAAGGCACATCCATGCAGCAGCGCCCCTTGCATCTTGCGCCGGGACTGCAGTGCCCAACGTAAGCCCTGCCCTGTGCATGGCCGCTCAAGGTCAGGCACAGCACGTTCGGAGCACAGGGGTAGCTCGGGGATCCCAGCTCGCCCAGCCGGTCATCAGGCTCGCGGCTGCCTCAACCCATGCTCACATGGAAAGCGAGGTGCGGCGCCAGGTCCGGAAAGTATCCTTGTTCATCCCGGCACGCATTGACCACGACCAGGTGCAGTGCTGTGTTGCCCTCGGCATCCCGCAGGTCTGGAGTGGCACCCCTGCAGGGAGAGAAGTGGTGAGGGCAGCTTGCAGGCATGCTGATGGATGGGCAACGCTGGCGGGCCATGGTTTCTGGTAAGGGACGCGGCCCAGGCCATGTCAGTTCCAGCGCTGGCACGGTTGCTGGGTGGGCGATCCAGGTGCGGGTCTGGCCCCAGCCGCTCGTGCCTGTCCAGGACCTCTTCCAGCGTGGTCTGGGGCACGCCCTCCCAATCCAGGCCTGCCACCAGCGCTGGCGGGTGGGTGCGGCCCAGCAGCTCATGCAGGACCGTCTTCCCATTGAAGCGGTCAATCAGTGTGTCGGGGTGCATCCCTGCAAAATTCCAGCCAGGGTGGAGCCAAGGAGCTGACTTCATGAATGCCAGGCCACGCAGGCGGCGGCATGTGTGCGGTGTTGCATTGTTGAATGGGTGGTGAGCTGTCGACCGACCACTGCCGTGCTGCACAGGCCGGCACTCACGTTGCATCAGAGTGTTGTGTAGCTCCTGTGACATGTAGTCGACGCACTGCGTGCATGTCTCTGACACCAGGCCGTACACCGCGGCAGGGTCGGCGCCGGCGTCCAGCGCCCCAGCAGTTGCCTCAACAAGGTCTCGCACAACTGTGTCGTCGAAGAAGGGATCCATTGCGGGCGGGTTCAGCCAAACTCGACCGCCCGCCGCCTGCAGGTGCTGCACGGTGCGGAGTGCGCGGAGGTCCGTGAGAAGGTCTCGGCGGTGCGAATTTTGCCTCGCTGAGAGAATGGACGAGACGAGGACGCGCGGCAAGCAAGAATTTCAAGATCGCCCGAGATCGGCCGAGTGCTCAAGCCTGAGTGCTCAAGCAGAGTGCTCAGCCGCGCTGTGCTGCTCAGCGTGGCGGCGCCCTGGAGGCACATCATTCAGTCTGCCTTTACAACAGCAAAGTCTCTTCGTTTGCTAGTATTTTGAGAGCGTGTAAACATGGAAATGCGGAGCAGACAGGACTCAGGCCCTTGGGCGGGCCAATCGCGGCGGCGGCGGCGCGACTGGAAAGCCACCGCCGCTCATGAAAAGCCAGCATCCTGCTTCATCTCCCGCCACCCTCACGGTCAACCCCGTTCACGCATCTCAGTCTGCTGCTGGTGCTCCTCCGCCTCGCCGCTCCCATCGGCCACTGCAAACTCCTCCACGGCCGGCGGACGCAATCCACCGCTCATCTGGGCGTCCCGCACCTGCAACAGGATGTCGTTCGAGCACGACAAAGTGGGTGACTCGCCATCACGCCGTCCCCAGCCGCTGCTGTGCACGTAACCCCACGCCGTGACACGCAGTGCAGCGGCTGAGGGTCAAGACGCTGCACAAGAGCGCTGCTGCTGCTGCTGGTCAGTCGGGCGGCGGCGCCATGCTCACCGCCTGTCGCCTCTCCTCGCTCCCTCCCTGCACAGCGCGTCATCGTGTACCCAAACTACTTAGACAACCGCAAGACGGTGGCTCAGGGGCGCAGAATACCCAAGGAGCTGGGCGAGTTGCCGCCAGCGGCTGCCGTCCCGTCGGTGTCGCACGACGTGCCTCTGGTGTCTGCTATGCGCCTGTGGCCCCATCCTTGTTGCCCCCACTCCGTCCTGCAGCCTGTGAGGCGCCCAACGCCATTGAGATCTACGAGTGCATCATCAACGGGCTCAAGCTGGAAGCGGAGGCAGAGGTGGGCGGCAGCTCCCGCACCGTCTGCCGCTGCACCCTTGGCGCGGGCTGGCAGGAGCAAAGCCGACGGCGCCTAGCTTCTATGGTTGTGACGCTGCCCTGCGCCCACGTGTTGGACTGACGCAGATGAAGAGCTACCCGCGGGATTGGATGGTGCCGGGGCGGGTCCGCGTCAAGCTGCGGGGAGAGGATGGCAGCCTGGCCAACCCAGACATACCCACCCGTGCGTATGAGCACGGGAGGCCTGCCTGCCTGCCTGCCCGGCCACTCAGGCGACCCAGCCACCCAGCAGCTGCTGCCGCTTGCACGGTGCATCAACACCGCATGCTGCATGCCGCATGCCCGCGCGGAATGCGTCCCCATCCCCATCCGGCTCCAGTCAAATCCACGCCGCCGCTCACACTTCTCTGGCGCGGTGCGGAGTCGTAGGCAGCCCAGAGCGACCAACGATGGCCTGTACCTGGCAGCCCTGCCCGCCCCACCCAGGGGCGGTGGCAGTGGCTCTGAGTTGTGGCCCCGTACAACCCCCCCACCCTTGTCCTGCACTCGCACACGCATCACGCGCATCCGGCATTCTCCTGCCGCACCACCGTTGGGCCAGCATTCCCACCGCCGCACCCGCCTGCTGCCCTGCCTGCCCGCTGCCTGCCCAACAGGGCGAGCGCTGCTGCTCAAGGTGGCGGAGCTGGTGCCACGGCACCCCGGACGCGTCAACGGGCGGCCCAAGGCGGTGGCAGCAGCGGCGGAGAAGGTGGCGCAGCAGGCGGCGGGCGGCTCGGGGGCGGGCTCCTCCAAGCAGCAGCAGCAGCAGCATGGCGGCAAGAAGAAGAGCAGCAAGAAGAAGTGACAGGCAGGCGGGCCTGGCCTCCTTGCTTTCGCTTCTCGCTGATTCTGCTGCACCCCTGTTTTCCTCTCCCGCCACTGGCTCCTCTCCTTCCCTCCCTTGCCCTCCCTCCAGCACTGCTGAATCGACAGTGTTACACAGTTCACTTGATATGCCTTGGCACCAATCTGGTTGCAGCCGTTGCGGACAGGCACCAACACACGAGGGCGGGCTGCTCCCATGGCGGGGCTGGGCTCGCCTGCGGCTCGTGCCTCAAAACGTGAGGGAACCAAACAAAATCCACGCCCGTCTGCCAGCCGCTCCAGGCGCACGTGACCGCCTCTGCGCGCCACATGATCGGCAATGCATCCTGCCAACCACCAGTGGGCAATGGGCAGCGGGGCCCTACGCCGCCGCCTTCTCGCGGTCGTAGTATTTGTCCAGGGTTTCGGTGGTGATGCGGCGCAGCAGCTCGCGCGGGAACAGGCGCAGCAGGCTCCAGGCCAGGTCCAGGGAGTCGAAGATGGAGCGGTTGTCGTACAGGCCCTGCAGAAGGGGACAGGGGCGGGGGACAGGGGGGTGGGGGGGGGAGTGAGGAGGGAGCGGGGACCCTGCGAGGTGGGCTGGGGAGGAGGAGCGGTGTGGAGGGAGGGCCGCCCTGCGTCCCCGCCTGCCTGCCTCCCAGTCGGGGCAGCGGTACGATGCATGGCACGGCTCGCAGGCTAGGTGCAGGCGCCCCCCACCCCACCCCCACCCACCTGGTTGACGAACCGCGCCTCGAACTTGTCCAGGAACTGCAGGTAGAGCAGGTCCTCGCTGGACAGAGCCTCCTCCCCCACCACAGCCTTCATGCCCTGCACACACGCAGCAGCACGCAGTGGCGCGGGCAGGGGGGTCAGAGGGGGCGGGCTGTGGGGCGCTGAGGCGAGGGCGGGCACCTGGCAGGCAGCGGCTGCTACCCCTGCCGCCAGGGCCGGCGCCGGAGTGAGGGCTGCCACGCCTCGCGGCCCACACCCTCCCAGCCAGCCCCATCACCTCCACCGCTACCCACCTCACCCCCATGGGGTGGGTCACACTCGCCCAGCCCAGCCCAGCACAGCACAGCACAGCACAACGCCACCGCCCCACAAGCACGCCGCACGCGCACCTGCACGTCCTTGCCGATGGCGTAGTTGGCGTAGAGCTGGTTGGAGACCTCGGAGTGGTCGCCCCGCGTCATGCCCTCCCCAATCGCGCTCTTCATCAGCCGGGACAGGCTGGGCAGCACGTTGATGGGAGGGTACACCTGCCTGCGGGCGCAGAACAAGGGGGAGGGCCGCGGGCGCGGTCGGCGGGCGGCGCTGGCGCCTGCAGCGTGGTCTTCCTGGTATGTGCTTGCCGTGCTGTGCCACAAACCGAATGCGCAGCCCACCCAGTCGGCACGCCAGGCCCAGCCCCTGCCCCCTCCCCCTGCCCCCACAGCCCCCCCCCACCTGTTGTGCAGCTGGCGGTCCACATACACCTGCCCCTCTGTGATGTATCCGGTGAGGTCGGGGATGGGGTGGGTGATGTCGTCGTTGGGCATGGTCAGGATGGGCAGCTGGGTGATGGAGCCCTTGCGACCCTCGATGCGACCTGCAGCCGCGAGCACGAACGCACGCAGGCAGGCACGCACACAGCAGCTCAGCCTGCAGCGCCGGCAAGGCACCGCACCGCAGCAGCAGCGCAGCGCTCAGGACCGGCGCAACGCCGAGGCGCATCCTTCTGCAGCCTGCCCGGATCGACCACCGCCTCACAGCAGTCCTGCCCCTTCCTCCCCGCCGCCGCCGCCCACCTGCCCGCTCGTAGATGGTGGCCAGATCTGTGTACATGTAGCCGGGGTAGCCGCGGCGGCCGGGCACCTCCTCGCGCGCGGCAGACACCTCGCGCAACGCATCAGCATACGAGGACATGTCTGCGCCGGGGGGAGGGGGTGGCGGGGCGGGGGAGGGTAAGCTGGAGCCTTGCCTTGAACACTGGTGGACTGGGGTTGGCTGGGAGGCACAAGCAGGCACACCCAGAATATGGCGCCTCCACCAGGCTGCTCCCAGGCTCTCCCATGGGACCAGGCTGTGCCATAGGCCCCCTCAAACCCTAAACCCCACAGAAGCACCGCCGCGGCCCAGGCGGCGCCCCCAGCCCACTCAGCCCACCAGCCTGCGCCCCGCCCGCGCCCCGCCCGCGCCCCGCGCACCCGTGAGGATGACCAGCACGTGCATGCCGCACTCGTACGCC